CCAAACCAACCACTTTATGGTATTGTGTATGTATCAGAGTGGGTGTGATTACTATAGGTACTAGCTTCACCAAAAGGATTCTAGCTGCCCTTGTATTTTACAATGGGGGCTCCTTTAAGTGCTGCAGCAGTATAACAAGTTATAAAACATGGCTGACAAAAATCCCATTCGTTGAAGCCAATCTGCTCCATGCCAGTTATGAACATTTTAGATTGCACCTTAAATCTCATGTTAAGCCTAAACAACAGAGCTGGAAGTGGAGGAAACAGCCTCTCCAGCACCTGAAGAGCAATGCAGAATAAGTATGGGCTTAATTTGCCCTATAAAATCACCAGCCCTTTGTACTGGAAGGCCTGCTGCTTGGTATAACAGTCTCAGGTTTAATCTTTGGCATTCCATATAGAACTGGGGAAAAATTGTATTGAGTCCTGAAAAATTGGCAGTCAGGGCAGGTAAGACTATTACATGATCTAACTCAATATGACTCAATCTGTAATATAATTGTATTACACAGGATACATGTGTTCAGCATTCCTTTAAAGTATTAGCATCAGGCTCGAAGCCGATAAGATACTTTGGGTCAAAATATTGTGCTTTGTCTAGATTCCATGTAAAGCAACAGTCTATGTTTTCCAATCAGATCTTCAAAGTCTCCTCTTACATACACTTTTAACAACCAAGAGGCATTGTTACTATCCGAGATCAGCTGGAGATAAAAAGTCTGAAGAGATGGACCAAAGGAAGGTAAATCACAGACAAGATTTTATATTCACTATTGCGCTGCTCTTTCTTTTGTTAACAATGTATACATTTTTTTCCTAAATGATTTTTCCCCTAAACGATTCCTACATTTAATGTCACTGTCACATTCAGTTTGAACCTAAAATCTAAACATACTGAGCACTATATTGTTTATGAGCAACTCTTCCAAGGAATGTATAATTAGAAAGAATTTGATTTTTTGTGGTATGGTAAGCAGTAATTGGATTGGTTTGGTTTTAGTTTGGTTAACCCAGCCATCATGATTCATTCAATAATCCATGATTTAACAAACTATCGTTTAGCATGTTTGAATCCAGTCATAATTTTGGCACCTTCAAATGACCTGGCCTTGATTGCATAGCATGCTCATCTGAAAGGAGGGAAAGATCAAGATTTTCAGGAGAAAATAGCTGACTGAAGACAGTGCTGCAGACAGGTTAGAGAGCTGATGATTGCAGCCTTGTACAAAGTAGCAAAAGCAGATCGGCAGCCTTTGATCTTCTCTGGATCAAGGTGAATGACACGACATTGCCCAAGCTGTTTTTCCTTATGGTCATTCCTTTTCCTCATGAAGAGACAGCAATCTTGGGTGGGGGGACTAAGGACCAGGAGGTGGGGGAATTCATCATTTTGCTACAACTGCAAATTGGAGCCTTTTGAGGACACCAACTTCATGTATTTCCCTTGCTAATGATCTTTGGAAATTGGATTTAAGGAAGTTAGACACCTCCAGAATAACAAGATTGGAAACATCAGGTGAGTGGGTGCTGTTAATCCTCAATATAAGAATATGAAGATTTAATTTTATAATTTTTAAGAATTTAAAATTAAGAAAGTTGGATCAAGTTTTGGCTACAGAAAGTTGTAAGAGTTTTAAGTGTGAAGCTTTGGATATTAATACTTTGAAACTATTTTTGAAACAATAAATGTATAAATGGAAAAGAAAGAATGTTTTTGAGTTTTGGAGGTATAAAACAAGGAATTTATAATGGTATTTGGAGACATATTTGAAGAACTGTGTAGGGATCTGCACCAAGAAATGAAAACTGTGTTGTGTCTTCTAGAGAACATTCTGTTATCAAAGATATCATAGAACAATATGTCTAACAAAATTTATTTGAAGAGAATATGAACTTTGAAGAAAAATACACTGGATGAGGTACTAAAAATAAAAAAAGAAATAAAAATGAGAATACCAGGAAATAATGCAATAATTTCCCTTTGTTGGATTTATAAGAAAGACTGTTTAAGGCACTAAAGAAATGTGTATAAGGATCAACAACCACATAGATGGATTTATATAAAAGAAAATTTAAAAAATTATAAAGTTGGCTTTTTCTAGCAGGGATAAATAGGTTACATTGTTATACAGGGTGATTCTTTCTGGAATAGTGATGTTGTGCTGGATTTGCTTAAAATGATATTATGTAAAATTTTCTTCCCAAAGAGTTATTTTATGTAATTATAATTTTATAGTATTTAAATTGGGTTTACATTTAATTGTTATTCTTCAGTTAAAATAAGGAAGTTTGGATAATTTTTTAAATAAAGAGAAATTATTTCTTTTTGCTATATCTAATTTTAGGGGTTTTTAAAATCTCTATTAGGATATTGGGATTATTATATATGTGAAAAGTGGAGGGTGAAGATGAGGAAAATGTTAAAATGTTATTTGAAATATTTTTTATTGGGGCTTGTCTTTTCTAAAGGGGATTTTTTTTTTGGTCATATTTAAATTTGGTGTTTTAAAAATTTTGTTTGCAACAGAATGTTGAGACTATTTCATGACTTAAATTAAATGCAGTTTTCTTCTAGTTAACAAATAAGGTGCGGAATGTTGAGTTTTGTATATGTTAATACAAAACAGCCAGAGTGGCGCAGTGGTTAGAGTGAAGTACTGCAAGCTACTTCTGCTGACTGTTGGCTGCCTGCAATTTGCCTGGTGTTCAAATCTCACCAGGCTCAAGGTTGACTCCGGCTTCCATCCTTCCAAGGTGGGTAAAATGACGACCCAAATTGTTGGGGGCAATATACTGACTCTGTAAACCACTTAGAGAGGGTTGGAAAGCACTGTAAAGTGGTATATAAGTTTAAGTGCTATTGCTATCACTAAGTAATGTTAAAATCTTAGAGCTCTGTATGGATCTTTTACTATTAACTGGATTGAAGATGATGTCACTTCTTTGATTTTTCTGTTGTTAAGAAAAGGGTTATGAGATGAAGAGTTTACAGTTGTTAACTAAGAGGAAGTGAAGAGATTAGGGAATTGTTTACACCTGCTATGAAGGGGGTGGAGTTTTTTTCTTCTCTTTATACATTTATTTTTCTCGTAATTCCTTTCTTTCTTTTCCTTAGTCTCCATTATCTTTTATTGTTTTATTCAAATTTTTAATAGGATTATTTGGGGGGGGGGATGAAAGGAAGAAGAGATCGACTAAAAGTAACAGGAGCTGCTGCATTTAGAGAGGATTAGTTGAAACCCAAGTCAGACCTGGATTTGTTTTTGATTAAACTAATGACCCCAAGTCAGCTATGTCATCCAAATATGGAAATGAAGGCTGACATAGCTGCCAATCTTCTGTTGCCAGAGACAAGAGCCTTGAATGACCCTGCATGAAACAGGCTGCTTGACTGCACCTGTGAGTGTAGGGCAGGGAAGGAGAAGGTGAGGAGACAATCTTTTGTCTGCAGGCTACTCTAATCCCAGATATGACACCAGGATTTTTTCTTTAAAGTTTTCACCCTTAAAGAAAAAGAAGACAGCCACTGTAAAGAAAGATATAATGTTCCCAAATGAATTTTGGATAGCTTTGCTTTTTTTGTTGTTGAGAGTCTGGCACTCCTTCACTGGAGTGTCATTTACCTAGGAGGAGCAACAGACTGGATGTGCTATGTCAGGGAATCTACCTAGACTAGCTGTGGGATACATTAAAGTAATGAAGTCACATCACCATTTTATCTCTATTATTAGGGCAATAGAGAAGTTTCAAGATAGATATTGCGTATACGCTTCTTTATGAATGGTTATTTTGGTTTTATTATAGAACTGTAAATAGCCAGATACTATTATCTGACATATCTACTTATAAACAGCAATTTCCCTTTAGAACCTTTCCTGATAAGTAAGGCTTAATATCCCACTACAGCCCTAGATCACAAACAATCACCAAGCACTCTAATACTAATCAAATGTTCTCCAGATATGTTGGGAATCTAACTCCCATTGTTTTCAGCTGTTGCTCATGTTAGTTAGGAATTCTGGAAGCTGCAGCCCTAACAGATCTGCAAGATGCCAGGCAAGGAACATGACTGTTTGAAGGATGGTGAATACTGATTTATCTGAAGGAAAGAGAAGATAAATGAAACCAGAATCACAATCCACACAATTTAAATGCCTAAATACCAACAGTTACAACAGCTCCCCTTTATGCTATAATCATAACACATATGAATCTATTACAACAGACCTGCCATCATGCACTGCAGGGGAAAATGATCCATTTGGAACACAGAATCCTCCCCCTTGCCTCAAAGATCTGCTCCTTCTAGTAGAACCCAGGAGGTCAATTCTTGGTGAAATGTAACCCTGGAGAAGCAAATACTGTGGATGCTTCTGTGAGTGTTCATCCTTTCATGAGGGCAAGAGTGTGTTTATGGTTACACATAACCTATGTGATGGATAATCATGATGTGCTGGTGCTACAGATTCAAGAATAAGCCCAATCCTTTATTCCCATCTAGGGCTGGTAGCAGAAAGCTGATGCTCTCTCTTGGAGTAGTTCTTGACACAAATGACAACTCCAGCTTCCTATAAATAAAGATATGGAAAAGTTTAGATGTTGAAAAGACAGTCTAAATCAGAGCTGTCAAATTCCCAGCCCATGGGCCAGATGTGTCACACGCTGGCCATGCCCACCCCTGTTTTAGTGAAGAGGGGAGAAAAATCCCAATACATCATGTGATGCTGCCATGACAGCGTGAGTTTGACACCCCTGTTCTAAATGATACCCAAGACTGCAGGTAAACATGCCTCGTTCACTTTGTGTGCAGTTTGAATAATAGCAGTAGCTTTGTTTCTTATTTTATTTTCCAACCAAATACTAGCCAGACTTGATTCTGTTAGCTTTTAGGGATCAGCCAAGGTTAGTTCTTCTTGTCCCCTGCTGTAGGCAATTTCTGTCAAGAGAGAAGTTATTTTGAAGGACATCAGAAGCTATACAAGTATTTGGAGGGAGGTTCCTGTAGATGTTTTTTATATGTCCTATAGTACAGGGGTCCCCAACCACCAGTCCCCAGACCGGTACCGGTCCATGGATCATTTTTTACCGGGCCGCAAAGCTTGGGCACCGCCATCTTGTTTCGACGGCGCTTCCAGGTTTTCGGTTGCTTCTGGGTTTTTGGTTGGAAAGTGCTTCCGGGTTTTCAGTTTGAAAGTGGTGTTTGGGTGCTTGCACCTTAGTTTCTTTGAAGAGAGGGGGGGCGGCTTCAAACAAAGAGCCGTCCCGATGGCGGTGGAGTCTCACGTTTCTCAGATACAGGTCCGTGGAAGAATAAATAATCGTGAAACCGGTCCCTGGTTCAAAAAAGGTTGGGGGCCACTGCTATAGTATGTCCTTCTGTTTTCATTAACTGCAGTGACTACTGCCCTTAAACTAACAGCAATTTATTTCAGAGGCAGCCATGGTGGGTTAAATTCATATCCATGCCTGTTTTAAAAGAAACTTGCAATCTTCATCAACTGAATTCTCCCCATCCTTTCCTCTGCAAGCAGAATGGAACCAACCAAGAACCCAAAAATGCTTAGAGGATTCATGAAATGAAGGGACATGCTAAGGGTGGGACATGACTTCAGTTCTCACCTGTCCCACGAGGAATTTCTCACTTGTCTTGTGAGAAATTATCTCAAGTTTCATTGCTGCTTTGGTTTAAACAAAGGGAATTGCCTTTACAAGTTTAAGTGTTGCTGTCTGTCATAGGAAAAATATTTACCTCATCCCCTTTTCTTACAAAAAGTTTATTTTTAAAGTGTATATGACTACACAATTTGGATTATGCAAAAAGATTCATAATTCTGTCCATGAGCAGAACAACAATTAAAGGAATACCATAGACCACTGCATCTCCAAATTGAGGATTCAATGAATAATCATATCACTCCAAGGAAAGGATACACTGGAATTACCCACTCAAACCAGAAAAAGCTGTTAGAAGTAGTAAAAATTTTCATAGAATTGGCAGGCAGCCTCCATTCACTATGGGTGGAGACATTGAACCCATTGGAGAATTGTATGATTTAATCAGCTGATTTCCCCAAAGTCTGCTTATGAGCCTCATCACACGCTTCAGAGAATTATTGCCCTAACTTCTACTGAAGAGGCCTAAAAACTATCAGATTTTTTTCTCTAATCAAATTAACCTTTCCAATCAATAATAATTACTAGTGGGGAAGAGAAAGAAGTGTTTTCTGAACATTGCAGTGAAACTGGATTTCCATTAGCTTATTATTGTTTTGTTCACTGCTGGTATTTCAATATTAACATTGATCATTCAATATTGATCATTTCAATATCTGGACAGACACTATAACTAAATGTGACCTAAGGAGATCCTTAGATTTGTTGAACCTATGAAATGAACAAGATAGAAGCATTGGAAAAAAGCAGGAACTGCTTTAAACAGCTTTTTTTTGCCATGATTTGCATTGTTTAAGCTACTTTGATTATAATTTCACATGGGGAAGTATGATATAGCAAGACAAACCCCACATGGGACAATTTTCCTATGCCTTCCCTCTGGCTTTGAGTAAACAACGCCAAAACACGTACATGAATATTTAAATGATATTGATTGTGCTATCGTGAAATGATTGATACTCCAAGCAACTGTACCTTCTGGGGGTTCAGAGACTGGTGGGTTTAAGCAATACATATGGTAACCACGGTCACAGTCATCACAGAAGAGCAACTGGTCCTGATCCAGAATTGTTGAGAAAAGAAAGAAAGAAATGTTATTCAATCTTGCTAAAACATGTAACCCTGCCTATTGTTGTACTAAAAAGTTACTGCATCATGATAAGGAACCAAAGAGCAAATCACTAACTATGGATAAAGAGACTACTTCCTACAAATGTTAATTTTGTGCTACATAGTCATGTTCTTGAAGTCTAACTAATCTAACATTGAGATAGAAAAAGAAAACTCATTTAGAGAGGTTAATCTGAATCTGAGTGGCCAACAACAATGCAAGTAGGAATTAAGGGTGGGGGAATGTTACAGAACTTCTGAGAACACTCAACCTAATATTCCTGTTCATGGGAATGTTATGATTTTCCTTCTCATTCTCAAATGCCTTCCAGAAGAGACACATTTTCTGAACAAGTCTTAATAAGAAGTGGGTGGGCCAAATATCCAAGAGGAGGCTATTCCAAAGGAGGAATATTCTGGACCACCCAGAAGAGGTCATGGTAGATGACATTCCCTTGGTGGAGAGTTTTTCCTCTCTGATCTCACCAGATGGGTAGATTCAACTAAAATCCTGAGTCACACAGTGTTTTACAAGTGACAGCTATTACCTCGAATTGAACCCCAACTAATTGGCAACTAATGCAGCTTCCTTAGTCATATCTTTGTATGAGCAAAATTTGGCTTGCACAGGCTGTAAAACCAACTGCATGTAAAACCAACTTCCAAATGCTCTTCAAGGGGTGCTCTGCATAAAGCAAGCTTCCTGCTCCATGAAGTACCACAGCTGGCACACAAATATAATTATGCAAAGGCCATTTTGACCATTGTTGTAGAATTTGCTGGGACCTTTAAATTGCACATCAACTCTTTGTGGGAGAGTGCTATCCCTTCTAGAAATAATGATGGGCTATCTCTGGAATCTACAGTCACTCCATCGTGTTGGGATTAAGCCTGATCCCAATTTTCCCCATCTAGATTCAGACAGCCTCCAGGGATCTCTGCAGCATTTCCTGCTCAGCCCAAAGTAAAGATATACAACTGGATGTCACTGGCATATTGATGATATCTCACCCCATGCTGAGAAATTATTTCTCCCTGTCTCTGCAGGTGTATATTGCTCAGAGCACTACTTAGGGTAGAACTACATATGCATGCCAATTAGAAAAAGTTTCTTTTAGATAATGCATCAAAAATGCATAGTATCTCTAAAGGTCCTTCTTTTATTTGAGGCTCTATGGGTCATCACTGTTCAAATCCAATATACTCTGCAGCAAAACCATCATTTTAGAAGAGCTTATCATTGAATGGCATCATCACAGCCTTGAGCTCCAGAACTGACTGATGTAGTTGCCATTAGATAGGGATTTGCCAGATTTGAAAAGAGACAACCTCTGAATAGGATTGAGACTTTTGCACCTGATATATTGTTAGAACAGCATATCTTCAAATTTGTTCAGCTTGTTGCAAGTCTGTAGTAAAAATGACATGATGGGCAAATAATGTCTAATAAAAGCCTTTGAGTCATATCATTTGAACCAGCACACAATCCTTCTGGGGAAGGAAGTATTGCTCTTAAAAGATGAATTGTTTCCTTAGCTGCTAAGATTCAGTCTCCATGGATTGGCCTGTGTATTGCCACAAAACAGATAGGTTTGGTCCCTTAAGTAATCCCAAGTGAGAACTACCAATTTTGGAGGGGACAAAAGGAAAAAAAGAATGGGCAAGTGTACTGTAACTGAGTGTGCATGAAGAATTTACAAAAAGGGCTCCCATCTACTCCTTAGATGTCTTGAGCTCAATGAATGAAACCTTGAAGATTGTGTACATTAGTTTGCAACTCATTATTACAAATGGCTAATTTAGGTCTTGATAACAAAGACAAGCTTACGTCATTCTCAGAAGTCCCACAGAGGCTACAGGATTTGCATTCGATGCATTGCCACTGATAGGTTTTGACAGCCTCAGTCATATTTGCTGTGAACTGCAGGCACGTTGGGTGACCTGGGGGAATGGGAAACACCTCTGCTGAGTAGGCTGTACTTTGAATGGTTCTTTCAATCAAAGTCATACAGCTCAGGAACAAAACAGACATGGACATGGACCAATCACAACATGGGTTCCAAACTAATGGATATCAAAGAGGAAAGCAAGCATTAACCCTTTTGCTGCCGGGCACAAGAAAAATAAGTCATCCCTTCCCATTGCACCATTGGCAAAGCAATTTTATTCAGAGCTCTTAAAAACTTTGTGGTTGTTATTTTCCTTTTAATTAGAAAAAACAAGACAACTGAGTCGAAGGAAGGAAGAAAGAATAGGCTTTTCCTCTTCCTTTGTCAATAAAGGATTTGGAGGAAGGGTTTTTTTTTCCATGGAAGATTTATTTGAACTGATTGAAACATAACTGAAATGCAAATTCATACATCAGAAGGGCAATGGGGCAAACTTATATTTTTAAGAGCTCTGCACTACTAAGGTTAGCCTGCACAGAAGAAATCAAACTGCACAACTAAGCTTTCAGGATCAACCAAAAAAATCCCCCCACTACCAGCCAAAACAATTTATAAAAGGAAGAGAAGTAGGAGAGCTAGCAACAGGGGAAGGGCAACTACTGCTGAGACTCTAGACCTTCCCTACATGTGTGTGGATGGTTTTGCCAAACAGCAGGAGTACTATAGCAGGACCAGCAACGGGGAGTTCTGGAAGAGGGGTGATACAAACAAACAAACATAAGGTAGGTTCAACGTTCTTTCTTTATAACAGGAAAACAATAAGGAAATAGCCCAGTTTGTTTCTCCACGATCCTTTGCCCTATCTTCTGTGTTTCTGCCATAAGTGAGTGGCATCTTCCTTCAAAAAAAAAAAAAAATCTTTTTCATCCAATGTTCCCCGCTCCCCCCCCCAAATTTTAACATGTAGCAAAATATCCATGTGCAGAAGCAGAAAAGGATAGAAGACCCATGTGTACCTGTATACTAAATGAGGCATTTTATATTTGTGCTAGTCAACAAGCCTTGGGTGGAAAGTCATTAGCAAAGGATCTTTGCTCACAACAAAGACAGTTATAAGGATCAGCAACTGAGAATGTGTGATGAAAATTCCCAGATAACTTATTCTCCCTCTGTTATTCCCATTTTTCCCCTCATAAATGTAGGTAGGCAATGTTCACCTTTCTTTCTTCTAGTCTATAAAAGAATTCCTACAACCAACGAAGAAATAATGTCTCCGCTCTGAAACCTTTCAGTCTCAAACTGTATGTTGGCTTTAATGAATATATGAGGGTGGAGAAAATGGATAGTAGGAAAAAGATTAACTCAGCCTTCCTATCAACCATTTCTCCGTTTTGACTAACAATTGTCACAATCTTTTACATTTGACACCCAGGCCTGGCCTAGAAAAAAAGTTTCATTTCTACATGAAAGAGCAAAAAACACTTTTCTTAGTCTTCTTGGAAACTAGAGGCTACAACCCAAGACAGACCTGTGCAAAAGAAATGAGGCCTTCACCTCTGTCAGGATGTCAGAGTAAATCCTTTGATCTCTTTACTTTCCTTGGATATGGCTTGGCAAAATTGCAGGCAAATTTTGTCAAATATGGTACCTCTTATCATTTTTCTTTTTAAAAAACTTTCCTACTTAACCCATGAGAAAGAAGAAGAGATTTTTTTTAAAAAAATAGACAAACTATTCTTAAGCCTTTAAGTCATTCCACACATTTTGAGAAACTTTGGGGGGATCAGGATATGACAAAGTTTGAGTATTAATTATTAAATTTGGGGCTGGGAGTATACAAGTAGCAATGGTGGGAAATAAGCTTACTCTTCCCACTCCTCTCTTTTACCAAGTTTTATGTGGTTTACTGGCTACCTTTTATTCTTCACATCCCCAGGTAGAATTTAATTCTCAAACACTTTTCTGTTCAAAGATCTCAACTTTTCATTTCAGTGTATTCTTTACACACTAACCTATTGCTTCAATTTCCAGTTATAAATATCTCTCTTTTGTTCATTTCCTGTCTCCAGACCATTACATCTTCCCATCCTCATACATACAGTACGCTACACATTGCTTTCAATGGTTCCCCTTTAATAGTGCTACTCTGCAGCTGAAGAATTTGGAGATAAATTTTTTTGGTATAAACTCCTGGATTTCTTAAGATTCTCAGCTGTTCTTCTTCCATGGAGGTTATGATGCCATGATAGCAGTCCACTCTTCGGCCTGTCTCTTTTAGTAGTGGGGAGTGGTTTTGCCCTTCCTGTATACAAGTTGCTTCTGATTTTTAATCAATGCAGAAACAGATGCAGGATTATATTGAGGAATGAGACACAGATGACCTGTCAGTTTTTGTACCATCATTTTGGTTAACTGAAAGGAGTGCTCTTCAATGGCCAAGTTGTAGCATCGCAAGAAAGTCGCCGTGAGGACAATTGCAGGATGCCCTGAACTGATTTGTGAAAATTTGGGTGAAAACAGAGAACCCTATGACCATTTCAGTGATACTGAGTTGTCTTCATTCCTGTGTATTCTCTGGTGCATGTGCACATCAGTTTCCTTCTCTTGAATCTGGGCAGATCCATTTATTTGTATATTTCACATCTTGCATGTAACCGTTCTTCTGATCAACTTCGAGAAAGGAATTTTAGAAAAGCAGAAGATCTGCAGGCCAGAAAGAGCCTTAAATAGAAACATCCATGGTTTATATTTTCTGCTACTTGTTTTTCTTCAAAAAACAATTGCAAAAGGAAAAACAGGCATCTGAGCTGTGGCCTCAGCCCAGAGGACATACTTCTCCATACAGTAGTCCTGCTCCAAATAGCCAATTCCCAAAACTGTCAAAATTGTTACACGTACAATTGAGAAATTTTGTTGAACAACTTTTTAAATCTATACCTTAACTTATAGCCCTATGGGAATATTACACAGGAATATCCAGTAATGGGCAGTATTCCTAAAATTCATACAACAGTGAACAATGCCCTATTATCTTATAGCATTTGCACATCATATTGCCTTCTGCATTTTCATTTTGCAATGAATTTTATGCAGTTTAAGCATCACATAGATTTTTTCCCAAAGCAAGGAAGATCCCATATTACCACAAGCAAACATGCAATGAATTGTAAGAAGTTCCCCTGATGGAGCACTGCATTTGTGTCAGTCAAAAACAGACAACACACTGGGGTAAAAATCTATACCTGGTATTCAATATTCAGAATGGTCTAAGGAGACCAAGAAAGGAGAAATTTCAAGAATTTAAACAAATTCTTAAAACAATATGCAGTGAAGAGTGACAGTGACCATGTGAGCTTTGCAATGTATTTTTGCTGTTTTCATATTATGAGCCAATGAGTGATTAAAATACTAGAATAATACTGGAGAAACATTTGCTCTTTCTGAGCCCAAGCCTCTCCAGAAGGTGGTGGTTGTAGAAATAAATCAGAAAGGAGAGAGCTAACAATACTATCCTGTGTTCCTGGCAGAAAAATGAGGTAGTAATCTAATAAATAAGCCATGTTAGGGATTATGAGATCATGGAATGTGGATTGATGCAATTAAAGTGATATGACTAAAAATTATACAGTTTTGAACTGTTAGCTGGAAAAGGATATTTGTTAACTGAAAGAAACCCTTTCTGGGCTATAATTCTCTGCTCAGAGTCCAGTTATAGCTGGCAACAGCTACTAACCTTTCTAATATAAGAAATGAACCAAAGTTTGAACATGGTGAAGTGATTTAGTGTTTGGGGGAATAATGAGGCTCTAGTCTTTTAGTCCTGGAAGCCACAGAGAAGATCATGGAGAAATTATTCTGAGATAGTTTTAGTCATCCTGAGGAGCCTTGTTTCCTGATTTGCTAAATTGCAAATGATTGACTTTTTTTAACCCCAGAAACTCCCGGAATGAGTTTGGGCCAGCTATAATCTCTTAGACCACCAAGATTAATTCACAGGTTTGTTTCTTGGGGAAAATAAATCCCCTTTGCTTTGAAGCTGCCTTAATGTGAAAAGTCAATAATTTCTCTCAGCTGTAGATAGCTAACACACTTAGCTATGTTTAATTTAACTTTGATTTAATCAATTAACCCAACTTCCACAGTACAATGAAATCTAAACTGATCAGATAGCATTCACAACACTATAAACATAGTTTATTAATTAATATAGACATAGTCCTTTTAAAGTGTGTTTTTAGTATAAAACATATAAACTCTGTTACTAGCCAGGATTGAATAAAAGGCCTAGGACCACTTTCCACCAAAATATTACTCTTTTGTCATATGCTCCCTATTTCCATTTCCAATAGCAAATATCCTGTAACAATAAGGCACCCTAAGAACAAGAATTTGAAGTTCCAATCTGCAGTTCTTCTTATCAACTCCCATAATTCCCAGCCAACATAACCACAGTGGCATACAGTAGACAGATCCAGGGTATCAGTTCTCCTCTAACTAAAAATGGAAATAGTAATCTTCTTATAGTTGAGTTTGACTCCTGGTGGCATCAGGGACATATTTCTATGTATACCTATTTTGAAAATCAGTAAGGAAGTGGTGTGCTACTTTATCATTAGTGTATCTTTTAACATTAAAAGTGATCTACCTATGGAAAGAAGAAGCATTTTTGGAAAAAAAACTATTGAATATATTATTCTATTCAGAGACATTTGTGGAATTATTTTAATGTTTTGTATGGAAGCTGATGAACATCACTATCCTAATAAATGTCCATAAATTCTTAAATTCAGAATAGTTTTGGCATTTCCTTACTCTTGCTATACTGATGCCTTAGAGTGAATTTTATTTTTTGGCCCTTGATAGTACAGCTCCTGTTTTTAGGATTATCACATATGAAACAGCAATTGAGAAGGCATTTAATCTCCTTAAGAATTTTTCAGGCAATGGGTTAATATATGATAGTTTCCACTGATATGTGAAGCTTTTTATTTTATAAAATTTTTGGCTTAAAATTAAATTCTTATTTAATGTATAAGTGACTGGCATTTACCA